CGCGGACGGAGTCGGGCGAAATCTAGTAGTTCATAGATTATGTTTTAGTCGCTTCTAGCAGTGAAACACAAGTCTGCTAAAATGCTTAAAAGTGTTTAGTCTACTGTTATTGTATTTAGTAAAACTTAAAATATTATATCCAAAAAAAGAAAATACCTGTAGGAAAGTATAGGGCTGTCATCACTATCGCGGCTGGAATACAGCAATTCATCTTCCTCCCAATGGTGGCCATCACCCCGTGCCATGTAGCGCTTCTGGGAAACAAACAACTGACTTGAAACATAACTCACCATATTGCGGTAAATTAAGTATTCGTGTGTTTATAGAAATCTATATATCTAGACTATCTCTAGGCGTTTAAGTTCGATATTTAGCAGCCTGGAGAACACATAGGCTACTTACGTCGTTGAGTTTCATATGGAAGGATTCGCTAGCCAAAGATAGTTAATTCCTAAAATGACTTAAGTTTGACTTTATAAAAAACAAAAGTGTAGAAAATTCTAGAATAAACCACAAAGATCTTGAATCTATACTATTATAATAAAGCGTAAACACACACTTCTTTGTTGCCTAAGATCTCAGCAATTACAGCATATTTTTTTAAATAAAAAGCCCTACACTTGCGTTACGCCTTAAGCTATATATTTTTACGCCAGTAAACTCAGGGGGTAAATATTTTCGATAAAAACCCTAATGTGGGAAAGAGACCATAAGTTGCTGCCAACATCAAGGAAGCAAAATTGCCATAGTAATTGGTTTTTTGACATTTGCTATTGATAATTTGACAGATGTAAACAATAAAATAAAATTTTCATAATTTTATGCGGATGAAGTCGCACGGGAACAGATAGTCTAAAATAATAGGTATAATGTGTATTATTTGTACAACAAGGCAGTTCAAAGAAGGCTTATTACCATCTTCTGTGTGTATAAACAAACACACGTGCCAGTTCCACAATATTGTGACTTATACAAACATAACAGGGCATATAATCAATGTAACTAATATAATAAATACGAAAGCTGAGATGGATCGATTTGTTAAAGTTTATAGTCACTGCTGAACGGATTTCGATATTTTGCATAGATGGAAAGGATTGTCTGTAAGAAAAGATAGGCTACTTGCTTTTTTAATTCCACGCGGACAGTGTCGCGGGCAAAAGCTAGTCAATAATATTCAGATACTTATAGTAAATAGCAATTAGAGATTTTGTTAATTGCCCTCCATAATTGAACTCTTAATACAGTCTCTTTTTTTATAGTCTGACGAGCTGTTGCCCGCGACTTCGTCCGCGTGGTAGTAGACAACATAAGAACTATCCCTGGGGAACCGGACATTTCTCGGAGATGAAGCTTATCCCATGTGTACTCCAGACTTTGTTTTATATCTGTGCCAAATTTCAATAAGATATGTTGAACCGTTGCAGAATGATCGAGTAAACATTAAAAAATTAAATTAATGAATCCCACGGGAACCGTAACTATTCCCGGGATAAAAAGTAGCCTATGTGTTCTTCCAGAGTATGCTTTAAACCTATGCCAAATTTCATGGAGATCCGTTAAGCCGTTTAGGCTACAAACGCTAATAAACATCCATCCATCCATCTAAACTTTCGCATTAATAATATTAGTAAGAAGTAAGATATATTTTAATCGTTTTAATATAATTTTAACACGAACATAAAACTAAAAAACAATTAAATAACTTACTATAGACATCGCCATCACACCATACGTTCAAGTCCATGACACACAATAATGTTGACATTCAAAGAAGTCAATGTCAAGTGTCATTAATAAAAAAGAATAATTTAAATGAGAAGAAACCAGAATCGAAACTTTGAACAAAAAATTTGTACTAGGACAAAAGCCCGCGATCGTCCGTGTGGAATAAAAAAAATCAAAAGCCTATGTGTTCTTCCAGGCTATCCTCTTCATATATGCCAAATTTCATTGAGATCTGTTCAGCAGTTTCCGCTACAAACTCTAACAAACATCCATCCATCTAAACTTTCGCATTTATAATATTAAGTAAGAAGTAAGATGGCATAAACGGACTTATACTTTGTGGAAGAAACTATAAGAGTGCGGGCACATCTTTGGCTAAACTATCGCAAACAGTTGATTTTTTTTAATAAAAATATTAGAAGATTTTTGTTAATTTAATAATATATCCTTTAACCATTCCAACTAAGCTGTAGGCTTGTGCTAGGATATGGTTCACGACAATAGTCGAATGGCGGGATTCGAACCCTCGACCGCAAGATCGGTATTCCGTACCACAAACTATAGGATATTGGCGCTTGTTGTTTTTTGTTGGCTACTAAACAATCGACAATCGCAAAACAGTTCTACGATAGTTTAGTCAAAGGTGCACCTCTCTAAATGGTATTTAAAGATTCATAATGCAAATATTATTTCCCTTATGCATTCATTTGTCAAGATATTTTGAACCTTAAAGCTAAATGCCGTAAGGTTGTTTAATGTTTGTAGGGCGATTACATCGCAATAGAAGACAAGAGCCTTTAGTACAAACATCAAAGGGTAAATGCCGGCTCGAGGCGGCTCCACTAGATCGCTCCAGTTGCATAAAACAAGATTTATGCAAAGATTATTTAGAATATCACATACTAGCTTTCGCAATCTAGACTAGATTACGTCCGCGCGGATTAAAAAAACAACAGTAGTCTATGTGTTCTTCCAGACAATGCTCTATATGTATGCCAAATTTCATCGATATCCATTCAATCATTTAAACTTACGCATTTATAATATTAGTAATACTAGCTTTCGCCCGCGACTCCGTCCGCGTGAAATTATAAAATAAAACATAGCCTATGTTATTGACTGACAACGTAGCTTTTCAATGTTGCAAGAATTTTGAAATCGGCCCAGTAGTTTTTAAGTTATTTCAATACATACAAAAATACAAATCTTTCCTCTTTATAATATTAAGTATAGATTGAAATTAAACCGTCTTTTTTCTCACCAAAACAAACTACAACCAACACAATATTCCTTATAGTTTATTGCAATTAAGCATTGTATACATATTAGAACATGGCATAACCAAGTACAGTTACGCGGAAAAAGCGAAGACGTACACTAGTTATTAATTCGTTAACCATTTGTGTTATTAAGTGTACATACATGATTAAAATACGTCGTCCTTGGCAAACCGCACAAAGGAGCGTTTGTGACCGCTGTGAATCATCGAGTTACATTAAAACACGAAAATAGGCTTGAATTTATTTATTAAAATGTGAAAAACAAATGCAATCTTAAACCTAAGACCTTGATTAGTAAATCAAGTCACTTTACACATATGTACAGTCGCGGTAATTCAGTGTTTCACTAACAGAAAAATCGTGCTTCTCTTCTTACACATAACCTATTAGGTACCAATGAGTTGTACAGATCTATACTATTATAATAAAGCGTTCAAACACACACTTCTTTGTTGCCTAAGATGTTAGGAATTACAGCATATTTTTTAATAAATCTTTTTTCAATAAAAAGCCCTATACTTACGTCACGCTTTAGGCTATGTATTTTCACACCATTAAACTTAAGGGGTACTTATTTTGGATAAAAACGCTAATGTGGGAAAGAGACCATAAGTTGCTGCCAACATCAAGAAAGCAAGGTTGTCATCATGTCATGTCATTTTGACATTTGAAATTAATAATTTGACACATCTAAACAATATAATACATTTTTAATAATTTCATGCGGATGAAGTCGCACGGGAACAGCTAGTGGGATAATAAAAATAAATTGGCTGTTTACACCGACATTTTCGTACAACTTTCAAATGAATGTTGATTTCTTTACTTAATTTTAAAGATGAAAGATTTGTGTATTTTACGTTTGTTAGTTTCAAGCGGACGAAGTCGCGAGCAACATAGTATCATATAAACTTAAATCGAATGAATATACGTCTTAAATAATCATATATCTTTGTTTTATAATGTTGACGACAAAATCTAGTAAGCAGAAAATGATGCGAGCTACCACAACATGGCGTTGGATTATTTCCAAATTACCGTTAATGCTTCGAACTATAGACGAGAGCTTACTTATCCAAAGGTTTTAAATCGATAGAAACAAAACATTTATAGTAAACAATTGATTATAACTAATCTTACTAATATTATAAATGCGAAAGTTCAGATGGATGTTTGATAGAGTTTGTAGCCTAAACTGCTGTACGGATCTCGATGAAATTTGGCACAGATGTAGAGTATAGTCTGGAAGAATACAGGCTTCTCACTTTTGATTTTTTTTATTCCACACGGACGGTTTTTTCAAATTCTTAGTTTTGTCAAATTCTCAATTGCAATTGTCAAAAATATCGTTACCATAATAAACTTGCTTCCTAAATGTTGGCAGCCTGTAGTTTATGATCCCTTTCCCACCTGAGGGTTTTTTCCAATTTATTTACCCCCTAAGTTTAATACCGTGAAAATATATAGTCTAAAGCGTGTCGTAAATGTAGGGATTTTTATTAAAGAAAGGATTATTTAAAAACATGCTGTGATTGCTGACATCTTACGCCACAAAGTAGTGTTTACGCTTTATTATATTAGTACAGATTACATTATTAATGACAGTTTGTATGCCAATGAATAGCAACGACTTATTTATATTCAGGTTACGCAGCTTAAATATTAATAATTGCATGTTTTATTAATCATTTAATCATATACATATTGATTTATCGTTCTATACAACATAATATTACTTCTTACTAATACAATAAATGCGAAAGTTAGATGGATGTTAGAGCTTGTTTGCCGCCTAAACTGCTGAAGAGATCTCAAAGAAATTTGGCACACTAGAGCATAGAGTGGAAGAACACGTAGGCTCACTTTTGTTTTTTATAACCTCGTAAGGGAGTCGCAGGCGAAAGCTAGTTTGTATATGTACAAATGTTTCAATATTTAACAAGTTTTTTAGTGTTGTCCACGACAATAATCTAAGGCACCTTTTATATTATAGCTTCGCCCACAGAATAGATTATGTATAACAGTTTGTGCACACAAGTGATACGTGAAAAAATTTAAAAATATACTTAGGTCAAGTTATGAATAATTACATATGTTCGTTGGAGCGCATAATGTTTTAAAAAATGTCGAGCGCTTGATTTGAAATTCAAAAAAGGTAACACGTGATAGGACTAACTCGGATGTTTTATTTTGGATATGGACATTTGTGTTTTTCTTTACTAATGTAATAAAGCGTAAACACACAC